CACACACACACACACACACACACACACACACACACACACTTCACCCAAGGTGTCCACTTCCCTATGTTCCTATGGATCCGTCTGACTGCAGCCTCTGCCACGCCACTGGATCCTCTCCAGCCAAAAGCCCCCTTCTGCCCCTGTTCCCAGTGCAGCAGGCACCCACCTTGCCATCCCCTTGCTCCTGGATCTGGGGGCACCAAGCACTGGGAGCCCTCTCTCTGTGACAATCTCTTGGGCTTTTCCCGTCTTTCGGTCCGTTTGCCCCCGCCGCCCCCCCCCTCCTCTCAGCCCAGAGTTTTCCCGCAGCCTTGCCCCGGACCTGTCTCTTTCCTTGGCAGCTTCTCCGTTCTCCCTGGGAGGGGTCCATCCTCTTCCACGTCCCCGGCTGGGAGCTGATGGCTCTCAAAAATGCACGTGCACCCTGGTCACCTCCTGACCCGTCTGCTCTGTCTCTCTCAGCGCCTGCTGCTTTGCTGTCTCCCCTGGCACCCTCACCCTGGGACCGCCTGGCCCCCTCCTGCGGGCACACTGCTTTCACCCTTTCTGATCCGGTCTCCCTGCAGCCTGAACAGTGTCTGTCCTCATTATCAGGACCTTCCCCATGGCTTATGTTCTGGAAGGTTCTCTGCAATCTCCCGTCTGCATTTTCAATCTTCTACGTTGAGCAGCTCCCCTGCAGGGATCTCTGGCCACTGACCTCAGCCCTTGCAACTGCCCAGATGCCATTGCTGTGCCTCACCCCCAAGGCCTCTGCACGTGCTGTGCCCTGGACCCTCCAGCAGAACTACCCCTCCCCCACTGCTTTGCCGCCACTTCCCATATACAGCCCCACCCCCAGGAAAAACCCCAAGTTCCAAACGCTGCAACAGAGGCGCCCTGGCCATCCCCCAGCACCCTGTAGCTCCATCCCATCCTTCCTACACAGAAACTGCCGTTCACCTGTGTCCTCCCCAGTCCCAAAGACTGCACCTTCCTTACCAGCGTGGCCTGAATCTTCCTCCCGTGCCTGCAGCATGTCCCCTGGTAAAGGACCAACAAATACTAAGTGAATGAAGGCAGCATGCTTTTTCTTCCCTAGGGCAGGGATGTCATGAGGAATGGTGACAGAGAAAACCACTCTAAAGGCATTAAAGCAATGAAGACACCTCCAGAAGATGACATATCAGCCATTAATCTGCTCCCCCCATTAATGTGATTTTTTAGATGTTTGTACGCCATAAACCGTTAAAATGGCCCAGCTAATATGCTTCATTTTCCGAGTGAATAAAACTCTCGGGACAAGGTGCACCGCCGTGCGGATACTGGCAAGTGATCATAAAATTCAGGCGCTAAAGTAAGGGGAGCCAGGAGGCGAAAAAGGAGGCCAGGGGTAGAGCCCTGTCCTGGGATCAGCATGTGCTCACCTGCGCCCTCTTCTGGACAAACTGAGACTAGCATGCATTAAAATGACCCTACAGTGTGATTGCTAAGTGTGACCCCAGCTGAGAGGTTCTAGGTTCAGATGGCTCAGACCAGAATGCATGCAGTAGCTGAGAGTCCAGGGAACAAAGTTGTGACCATACAATCAGGGAACAGCAGTGAGTGCCTCATGTAGGAAGCTATCCAAGTCTGTGCCAGAGATTTGGTCTGTGCTCGGTCAAGCCACCCTTGGTCCCTCATTGCTGAGAGGGAGGGGCTCCAAGAGGTCCCACGGGGTTGTTGCCCCTGAGAACACAGTCTGTCCCCTGAAGGTGCCTTTGTCCTGACAGCAAGAAAGCCAAGTCTGCTCAGCAGACCCTCTCTGTGACCCTGGTTTGCAGATGTTGGGCAAACACTTCATCTGGCCACCCTGTCTGTGACGTACCCCGCTGTGCCCACCTCTGCTCTCCTGGGGCTGTCCTGCTGCACCTTTTCCACTCGCTGGATTTTTTCCTCTGAAAGTTTACTTGAACTTGAGAAGGTTTTTCTTTGTTATTTTGAACTTGTTGTGGTCCCTTCTCTCCCGCCTGTTGTCTGCCTATTACTTTTATTTTTTTAATATATTTTTTAGTTGTCAATGGACTTTGTTTATTTATGTGTGGTGCTAAGAATGGAACTCTGTGCCTCCCACATGCCAGGCAAGCGCTCTACCATTAGCCACAACCCCAGCCCTTTCTATTATTTTTAGCTACTTTTTTTTCCTCATTTTCCCCTAAACTGAATTTATCTTGTGATTTTTTTTTATGACTTTAAACTTATCTTACCTCCCTTTCATCTTGGACCTGACACACTTTCAGTTTCTAAATTTCCTGGGCTCTTAAATTATTTGTCCATTTCCATTGCTTTTGCTTATTTTTACGTTTTTTTTACTTTTTTTCTATATAAGGTCCAGTTTCAGTGTCCGACTCCAGGGCAGGAACCCTTCAATGTCTTGTTTTGACTCTCTCTATTTTCCACTGTTCATTTCTAACTCTAGTATGTGTTTCCATTTAATCCAAAACTTGACTTGACATTTAAGCCTCTTTCACTTTGTTTTTCTTTTACTGTTTAGACAAGCATAATCTACTATTGGTATGCTTAAATTGTTATTTTTTTCCCTCTTATTTTACAAAAGGGCAATTCAGGACACATGTTGGTAAAGAGGACAGTTCCCCTGAACCTTGGGGGTACACAATGTGTGTTTGTGTTTGTTGTTTGTTTGTTTGTTTTGTTGTTCTGGGTAGTGAGGCCAGGTCTCATACACGGAGGTAAGTACTGTTCCCCTGAGTAACACCCCAATCCCTGCAGTGTGCTTTTCCTTGCCTGTGGGAAGAGTCTAGGGAGAGCAGGACTCTGTTCTAATTACTCTCCTTCACTTAGTTTCTTTGTGAGTGAAGAATGAATGAGGGCTGGGGTACCACTCAGTGGTACGGTGAGTGCTTGGCATGCACAAGGCCCTGGGTTCAATCCCCATCTCCAAAAGAATACATAAATAAGCAAAGTTGAGTCAGAGGTGAGCAAAATCATAGGATCTCGGGCTGCTGGCTAAGAATGCAAAGGAAGGACTGGGGTGAGATGGGAACAGGGGGCGGAAAAGAAAAGAGCGAGATTTTTAGAGGGTTTATATCCACCTTGTCATTGTACAGCTCAAGAGTCAGCCACCTTCGTCAGGCCCCGATCCCTGAGAAATCAACCCGTTGTTCATGCTCAAACACAATCTCTCAACACAGGGTTTGGAGTGGGGGACATTTGGCCATCCAGGGGACATTTGGCCCTGTCCAGGGACATTTCTGGTTGTCACAACCGGGGACGAGGTGAGGGGAAGGCTACTGGCCTCTGATGGCTGGAATCTGGGGTGCTGCTCAGAGTTCCAGAGCACACAGGACAAGTGCACCAGCAGAAATGGCCCAGCCGCCATGTCTGGGGCTGAGGTCGGGGAACCTGTCACACGCGGCTGGTTTTCCTTGCTCTCACCCTCCAGGGTGTCCACTCACTTCCAGCCGCTGACCTTGTCCTCAGAACCCCCTCTGGTTAGCCCAGCGTCACTCCATCAGCCAACAGTGTCACGGGACATCTCTGCTGCGTTATTTTTCTCCACGTCTTTCCCAGACTGACCTTCTCTCCCAGCGTCCCCCCCTCTTTCCCACTGCCATAGGGAAGGCACATCCCACCTGGGGACCCTGCAGATTCTCTCACTGCGCGGGTCACACCTTGACCAGACCTGAACCAACCTCCACTTCCTTCACCTCGTGTCCTTAACCAGCAGTCCTGACCCCAGGGACCCAGAAAGCCCTCCCCCAAGCTCCGAATGCCCCTGCTAGTCCAGGGAGGACAAGGGGCCATGGGGAACGGAAGCAGGCATCCATGCGAGAGGCAATGGGCATGGCGCCTGCACTCAGTCCCCAACCCTGTCACTTAGGTGACCTGGTCACCCTCCTCAACCCTTCTGTGCCTCAGTCTCCTTGTTTACAAAGTGGGGGTGACTTCAAGGGTTCATCTGAGGATCGAGTGAGTAAGGACAAGGAAAGCACTCAGACCAGGGCGAGGCTCAGAGCAACCCCATGGTCCAGGGTGGATTTGATGGAAAGGGAAACACGCCCTGAAATCCTGGCCAAGAAGGGGACGTTGCCATCACAAACACCACCCGTACATAGCATCACCACAAACACAGCAGCAACCAGAGGGTCAGCGTGGTGCAGGTCACCTCCCGCCAGGGCAAAGTACAGATCTAAAGGATCTCACCTCCTTATAAGGGCAACAGGGCAGAGCCACCCTACCTCTGGATTCCGTTCCTTCCTTGCTATTTGAGGACAAGAACACCATGCACCCGTCTCCAAGCCTCCCTGCTCCTTCCCTTGGCCCCAGAGGGTTCTGAGCCTTCTGCCTGGTAACTCTGTGCACAGTTATTATGAAACACAAGTCAAGTGCAATTTTGCTTATTTTATTAGAGACGAGAAATAGGGCTAGGCTCCTGAGGTCCTATGAAATAAAGCGAAATAGCTTTTAAATTCTTGTTCATGGTTACATTCTGCCTGAAGTAAATGAAGAGAGACTTCAGCCTATTAACATCCCTAAATAGTTCTAAATGGGCCAAGAATTCAGTGTTAATATCTGTGGGTTTGGGGGGTTCTTACGTCCTGATAATGCCACAGGTTTTATAATAGAGCATATTTTTCAGGCGATAACAGCCTTAAATTTTTTAAAAGCAAATTTTGTTTTTAACTTTCAATAACATAATTTCAGATGCAGGTTTTCTTATTATTTGAACAGAATATTTCCACCCATTCCAAGACGTAGGGATTGTCAAGGTATTTTTTTTTTCATAGTCCAGCACACAATAATACAACAAAATGTTTCCTTTATGTTTATTTGATTTAAATGACTGAACGAGACATGGGAATCCACAAATGAACTGTAACTAAAAGCCACAGCTAGGGGTTTTATTGGAGTTTTTTTGTTCTGCTTTTTAACCAGTGTCTTTTATAAAAACCATTTATTCCACTGGATGACCTGGCCTGAAAATCACGTGGCACGTTAAACCTTCCGTCTTCCATGTTCCTGTCACCTCTCTGACCTGGGGAAAGATAAAGGACTCATTACCTACAGAATGAACCAATTACGCACCCCAAGGCCACTAGCCGGGTCACAGCGGGGCATAATCAGCACCCCCTTAGCCAGCCTGGGTACAGGACCGTGCAGAACATGGCCTGGCCAGGCGCATCAACTGAACCCCTGAGGCCTCAATCTCCTCATGTATGAAAGGGGGACCAAGCGACTTTGTTTAGATGATGTACATAAACTGCCTGTTGTCGGTGAGCACTCGCTGTGAATGCTGATCATTAAGCCAGTATCCCCACTACTTCCACAAAGATGGCAGGAAATCGCGTGGTTGGTAAGCAGCCCTGGTACTCATGAACTAATTCAGTGAACCATTGGCAACCTGTTACCATTAGGTGGGGGGCTTTTGAAAAAAATTCTGATGCTGGAATCCACCTCCAGAGAGCCTGCATTACATGGAGATGTGTTATCAGTATGTTTAGCAGGTTGGAAACACATTTTCAAGGTAAAATCCATTTGGACACATGTTCCTGTCTTTAACTCTGTTTTAAAGTGTTGGATGTCTTTTAAGATCTTCAGTGTTGATTCTAGAGCCTTCCTGCCTTCCCATACTACATGTCTAATCAGTCATCAGAAATTCACTTAAGCCTAGAATGTCCAGAATGCCACCCAAGTGCCACCAGAGTGGAAGTTACCACGGTCTTTGCCTTAAGGCACTCCTGGCCTAGTGGAGGAGACAGAGGAC